GCTGTATTTAGCCCAATGCAGAAGCTTCTAGCGGCGTTAAATGTTAGCTAACAGCTAACTGTTGTGGTGTTTGTTGACAGTTCAGTTTCAGTCCGATGTCCAACATGTGGCCGCTGACCCTGTCAGTCTCAGACAAAGCTAGTTAAAAGCTTCTGGTGGGAAGTCGGATAAAATGGGCCAAACAAGGTTGGAGCTTTGTAGCACTGTAAATTACAGCTAATCACAAATACTGATCTTGAATTGTTGCTACAACACTAGTTGACATGTAAAACTAGTTTTGATTGGTCTGAGATTTCTATGGTGGGCGGGGCACAGTCTACACGAAGTACGTCAGAAATACTTTATTGATCCACGAGGGGAAATTCTTTGTCACAATTGCACACTGTCAAGGCATAAGGAATAGAATATAGTAATAAAAGGTATAGATAAGAGTTTGTATAAATATAAATGTAAGAAATATAAAGTTTAAAGTATGAACAGAGAAATCTACAGCTTGATCAGCAATCATAAGTAATTTTACCAACACAGCAAAATGTTTATAAAAGATGTTTCGCCAGGCTCTTTCAAACAAAAATAGTTCAATTTGTAGTTTTTGTAAAAAAATTTAAAAAAGTAATTTTAAGTACTTTTTTAGGGCCTAACATTTTAACATGGGCCACGTGTACTCACAGGCTTACTGATCATTTACAAAGAAACTGAGGGTGAATATGTACATATCTATGTAAAACATAAAAAATAATTACTTTATGCACAGAACCGACAAAGACACTAATGTGCAGAAACACCCATCCGCCAAATGCGGGTGGATTTTCCGTTTGGCGGCCAAATGTTAGAAAGCTACCTGCCGCATTGGCGGGTAAATGTACTCTGCTTATAAATTTGACAGCAGCAGACCGGCGTGCTTGCTGGTTGTGAGTCGCACTTAAATTGATCCCCGATGTACCAAGGGATCTAAATTATTGGGCGTGTTAGGGGCGTTCACTGGTTGTTCTTTTCCTGTTACTTATGTTTGATTGGCGTTGATTTGTAAGGGGGTGGACGTTAGGCGACAGGAGTCTGGAGGGGAGCGTGGGAGTGTAGCCGCTTTCATGCAGAGATCAGTGCAGAAAGAATATCTGCGTTTATGTCGCATTCGCGTCTTCACACTGAACAACAGTTTGCAGCTTTATCCCGTGTGAAAAGGCCTTAATCCTGCAACCATGTGTGCTTTCACATAGCGGTCCGGCTTTACGGCGTGTCGGCTGTGGCTTTTCACAAACAGATCGTCTGTCACCAACTTTTCCTGCTGAGAGGTGAATAAAATCTGCCTCATACGTTTCATAAAGTGCAGTGAGCCGGCAGATCGGCGCAATACCCCTGTGAAATAATCAGAATCAGCTGTATTTGCCTTGTATGTGTGCACATATGAGGAATTTGACTTAGGATTGTACATTGCTCATGATGTGCTTACTCATACAATAATACAATTATAAAATAAGATCAGACACAGGCTACAGTCTAGAGAACAATATATATACACACTATAAACAGAAACAAAAACAATATACACAGAATAAGGCGGCGTGAAAGCTGCTAGTGTTTGGAGCTGATTACAAAAGTATTAAAAGGAGTGTTTTTAGCTGGCGGTCCAGTCAGTGTCTGGCACACTGCCAGATCTTCTCTTGGTCCTGCTGTCCTCCCCAGAGATCAACGAGAATGATCCATAGGCTGTATGAAAAATGCAGTGACCTGTTCGGACCACAGAAACATTAACAGAGCTGCTGCTTGTTGTTGTCTTCCAGCTGAGGTGGAGAAGCATCATGGACAAAGTGAGGAGGATCCTGGTTTATGTTTGTAAGGAGCGAGCAGCTCCACAGCGAGCTCAGTTTGTTCAGGTCAGTGCAGACGGATCCAGATTATTTAAAGGTTACATTTACAAACATTCCCCAAAATGTTGGATTGTTCCTTTAACCAGCTAACGGCACACACAACCAAACACTTTTACTGCTTTTCATTACATTATCTCAGGAAGTTATACCTGGTTTGTCTTTCCTCATACTTCTTCTTCTGTTGTCAGAGTATAACGGCTCACTTCAGTGACGGCGGTGAGGACGAGGTGGAGGTGAACTGCTCTCTGGAGAAAAACCAGTTCATCCTTTACAGAGGAGACAAAGGACGAGGGATTCCTCTGAAGGTCACAAAACATTTAGCTTCTGTTTTTAATATTTATCCCTCTGTCTTCAAAGTGTAAGGCTGAAAATATTCTATGTTTGTTATTATCAAGAAAAGTCTCATGTGCAGACCCAAACCAACACTTCCTGACTTCCTGTCTCTGCAGCTTCTATCAGACAAACATGAGGAAATAGTGCATCTGTTGGGGACTACTTTCAGTGGCGGATTAATCCACATGTGGTGCTCTAGTGAGGATTTGGGGCAGCAGGACGGTGTCTGTGCAGCTTAGCAGCTACAGTGTGTGTTTATAGTGATGATGGATCATGTGACCCAGTTTTATGCTGCGGTCCATTTACCTCGGAAGTCGGAGGTCGAAGCTGGGAATGATGTCACAACCGAGTTTCGGCGTTCCAGTTAACAAGTCGGAAAACCTGACCAGCTGTTTGTTTACAACTAGCCAGGTTAGCTATTGATACGCCGGTTGATTAAAAAAATGCATTGTGTGGTATTTACTAAATACTGTAGCAACACGTCCACAGACAGCTGCTGGACAGCACTTTGTGTACGAACATTTCTATGAGTCACAAGTACACAGACGTGCTAATAAACACTATAAACTATAACTTTCACTAACTGTTGATACTCCGACAGCCATCTTGGATCCCGAAGTCGGGGTAGTGCGGTTGTCTCGACTTTCCGAATCGGAGATCCAACTTCGTTCCAGTTGAAAGTTGTAGGAAATTCCGACTTCCTGTGTCAAATGGAACGTACCATTAGGACAGTAGTGGAGCTCTATAGCGACCTAAGCACCTCCTCTTCCTGTGGACCACTATGGGATCATATTGCAGAAAAAATACATACAGTAGCCAACAACGACTAATGTTTTTATCCTGTTTGAATTGTGTCCTGAATTACACACACGCTCACTATCAGTTTAAAATATAACTTAAGTCAAGAAAGTCGCTGTTTGTATAAAACTGTTTAAGAATAAGACTGTGAAAATACTTAATTTCAAAAACCACAAATCCAAAAGCCCCGAATGTGACGTCATAACTGTTTCTGTCAATGACTGAAGCTAATGTATCTTAAGCTAACATGACTGTAGCTAACGTGACTGTAGCTAACGTGACTGAAGCTAATGTATCTTAAGCTAACATGACTGTAGCTAACGTGACTGTAGCTAACGTGACTGTAGCTAACGTGACTGAAGCTAATGTATCTTAAGCTAACATGACTGTAGCTAACGTGACTGTAGCTAACGTGACTGAAGCTAATGTATCTTAAGCTAACATGACAGTAGCTAACGTGACTGTAGCTAACGTGACTGTAGCTAACGTAACTGTAGCTAACGTGACTGTAGCTAACGTGACTGTAGCTAACGTGACTGTAGCTAAGGTTACTGTAGCTAACGTAACTGTAGCTAACGTGACTGTAGCTAACGTAACTGTAGCTAACGTGACTGTAGCTAACGTGACTGTAGCTAACGTAACTGTAGCTAACGTGACTGTAGCTAAGGTTACTGTAGCTAACGTGACTGTAGCTAACGTGACCGTAGCTAAGGTTACTGTAGTTAACGTGACTGTAGCTAACGTGACTGTAGCTAAGGTTACTGTAGCTAACGTGACTGTAGCTAACGTGACTGTAGCTAAGGTTACTGTAGTTAACGTGACTGCTGCTAACGTAACTGTAGCTAATGTAACTCTGTCATTCATGTGTGTTTTCTACTAATATGTAAACATACCAGCAACTAGAGCTGCAGCTAATGATCATTTTAGTAATGGAGTAATCTGCAGATTATTTCATCGATTCATCATTTAAGAAGTTTAATGCTGAAGTTGGTGTTACTGTTACCTTGTTCCGCTCGGTGGACTTGATGATAGCCTGGGTGCTTTCTGTTCAGGTGCTGTTGCTGTAGGCAACATCAGTTTTGTTTTACGGTGGACGGGCTGTAACATTACAGAGTTGTTTTCTTTTATCTTAAAATAATCCCATACTTTGGACACTTTCTTCTTTGTGCTTCGCTATTTTCTCTCTTCCTTCACTTTGCGCCATCATAATCACGTCGTGTTCACTTGATCACAGTGTAAGTGCCAGTGCTTAATTTGTAAATTATTAGGTGCCAGAGCGTGTGAAATGCGTCATCCGCCAAAAAGAATTAATTAATAATTTACGATCAATTTAAATATTCAAAATGCACGGCGTATCTGCACATTGTTTTAAAGGGCGATCAGAAACCATTATTAGCTACCCTATTGGTCTGGATGAAATCTTGGACTTTATATGTGTAGAAGCACTTTATAGGTGCTGGAGTGCAAAAGGCTTAAAACTCAGCAGCGGGGCTCCGGCTAGCTCCGGCACATATTAAGCACTGGTAAGCGCGATGTGCGACACTAATAAATGTCTGCGCTAAATAGTTAAATGGATTAAACGAAGCGTTGATGCTAAGAATTTATGTCGCTGCTGTTTGGCAATCGAATTAATTGATGAATTGTTTCAGCCCTGTTCAGGACACAGGTGAAACTGGATCAAAACATTAGTTGTCCCGCTGCTGTTCATATTGTTTCTGAATTGAGGTCCTTTGGGGCGGGAAGGATGGACTGAGGCTCTGTATGGCTCAGAGGAAGAAGAGGCTGTGAGACACAGGACCTGTTAGCGGATACTTTCGCTGCTGGTTGGAGTCTGAACATGAGATTTGATGAAGAAAAATGTAGAACATCACCAGAATTGTGCTTTAATATTCATCCCTCCATTTTTGAAACAACCCTGCTATCCTTTTCTCTCCTAGAGGCCCGCCTTCTGTCCCATCAAACACCTGTCAGCCACGGAGGCAGCTGCGATCCCACTGGACGTTCAGCAGCGTGGAATAGATGTGGGCGTGGCTATACTCCTGCAGACAGCCAATCAGAGAGTGTTGTTGACACGACGGTCGAAGGAGCTTCGTATATTTCCCAACGTCTGGGTCCCTCCAGGTCTGTTAGAGAGGGCAGGTGCATTGTGGGAAGGGTAGGATGCAGGATATCTCCACCTCTGCTGCTCAGATTTGGACCTTTCTGTTTTAAATTCATATTAATTTTGTATGCACTACTACAGAACTGCAGTAGCCTCTAACATACATGTCAACACTGGCACCACCCCTACCACTGTCCACATATACCCCCTTACATTTAGACAGGGTGATCACGGGGTATTCAACATCAAAACTGAAGGCCTTAAAAAGTCTGAAGTTTGTCACTGAAGTTTGTGTTCTAGGCCTTAAAAACTTTTAAACAGGTCTCAATTTTCCAGCGTCCACGTAACGCCTCTAATGCTCATTGAAGTGCTCCCGCACCCCGTGGTGTTGTAGTTCTTTCTTTCGCTAGTCCAAATATAATTCGCTGTGTCACGACTACAAAGACCAACATGCAGCCGTTGTGTTATTGTCTTTGTCGGATTGTATGACAGATTCAGCTCTGGGGAAGTGCAACCTTAAGAAACACGATCATTAATGATGTTCAGCACGGTAACACTCACGGCTGTCTCCCTCAACTCATTCTTCAAAAGACAAGTGACAGAGCAGCCTGTTCTCATCTCAGGGCGTCATATACCGACGACTTGAGAAAGAGTGACAAAGCGTAGTTACCCTTTAGCGTCTGTGTGAGACGCTCTGGAGCGTCCCGTACAGACCGGAAGTGCCAGCTAGCTAGCTAGCTACGTTCGTGATAAAGGTGTTGACCGCCCCCTGAAGTCCCCTACCCTTACCACAACAGACTCCATCAGACTAACATCAGAAATGTTAGTACCTAAACCAAGCAAGTCACTGAATGTGCGCATGTCGACTGGCTAACCCTTGTGTTGCTGCAACGTAGGAAACAGGTGGCGTTTCATACGGACGCTGAAGGGAACCTTTAGTGTAAAATCCTTACGCTTTGTCACGCTGTCTGAAAGGAGATGAGGGAGTGTTGGTCAGAGAGAGCGGCAGAAAGTGACGGTGAAAGTTAGCGGAGGATAAGATCAGCGTTAAGTTGTCAGGTTACAGCTCTGTCCTGTACTGTACATCTTGATAGTATAAAGAAAGGAGGGCGGTGACCGCAGAAGAGCTGAGGTTAGTAACGTTAAAGCAGATTAGAGATGCAAACTAGTCCTTTTAAGCTAATGAGATTATTCTTTTGGATATTGACGCACAAATGAAATACTTGTAATTATCCAGAAGGGAGGTGGTTCTCATGTTGCTTTTCTACTTAAAGCAGTAAGTTAAGACACAAAAGGCAAACATGAATAATCTGTAATGATTCTGAGGTCATTTTAACAGTGTTTTCCTTCCTTTATAAGGTGGTGAGGCTCAAAACTGCTTGCTGCTGCGCCATGAATGTAAAAATCAAATCTAACCTCATGAATTTTCCCAGATCTAATGGTTATGATTCAAACCCATAAGACTTCTTTAGCAAGTTTAGCTTTTGGGGTGTAGTTAATCCAAAATCTGCTCTAGATTTTCCTACTTATTATTCACAGATGTGGTAATAACATTGTTTCAAAATGATCTGCCCCCAAAACCTCCAACACAAAAATACCATCTTAATTTCTTTTACATTATACCGCCCTGTGAATGCATGTTTTAATGTTTTAATAAGTCTTAAATTTCATTCATAGTGGTCTTAAAAGGTTAAATATGATCAGGTGAAACCTGCAGAAACCCTGTTACACACTGAATCCTAAAGTTACTGCTAGGAACCAGTTGCTATAAAATATCAGTGCAGCAAGGATTGGGTCTACTAAGTCCAACATTAAGTAAGTGACTACAATCTGGCGGTCAGAATGCGATACCTGGTTTGAACATTATATAAGCAATATATAAATGGGCGTATAAATTCAGCACTTGTCGGATACATGCTACTTGTAGAGTGCGTGAGATTTCCGTGAGCTTAGAACAATAACTGATCTTGCGGCATTTGCCTTTGCAAATCAGGAAAAAGGAGGTTCCCACTTGGTGCAGTCATAGAAAAAGCAACTGCGGTTTTAAGGTTAAGAATATGGGAGATTTAAGGGCAAATATTTCAATGGGAGGACAGTCGGAGAGAATGTTAAATTACGGGAGAATCCCAGAGTAAACTGGAGGTTTGAAAGGTATGGCCCTTAAACACACGTCTTAGTTTACACACACCTGAGTATTTTAAAGGCTCATGTTTCGTGGCTTTGTTCTTTTCTAGGTGGCCATGTTGAGCCAGATGAGACGGTAAATCATTTTCTGTTTCTGAAAATAATTTTACGTGACTCCTGCGCAGTGTTTCTTCTTGACTGAACACAAAGAGCCGGTCACGCCAGAGTAATCCTTTTTATTGTGTGTGTGTAGCTGCTGGATGCCGGCCTCAGGGAGTTAGAGGAGGAAACCGGCCTGAAACTGAAACCTGAGGAAGTTTCTCCAAAAATACTGGGACTCTGGGAGGTGAGACAGACGGAGACCAAACACTCAAACCAGATTCATTAAAGCAAACTGTTGTCTAGCTTCACCGGGCAGAAACATTCTCGACATGTTCTGTTTCTTTAAATCAAAGGTTTTGTCTCTGTGTTCCACAATAACACCTGTTTCTTTCTGTTTGGGTGGAGTGAATCAGTCCACAGAGGTTTAATGTGTCTGTTTTTAACCTCTGGGCCACTGAGTCACAGCCGTGTAACGAACGCATTAATGGTGAATGATCTCTCTGTCAGTCAGTGTATCCTCCCATGCTGTCCAGAGGACTTCCTCAGAGACATCACATAGTCATCTACATGCTGCTGCACTCCTCCCTCTCTCACCTGCAGCTACAGGTACTACAGGTGATGCGGACGTGGCTTTGACCGTCTCTGTGTCTCCAGCAGAGAATGTGACTGTAGGATGTCTTCATGTCTCCACCCTGCAGGCCTGTCTGAGCCCGTCTCCTGCCGAGGTCAGTGCCTGTCTGTGGGCCGACAGCCGGCTGGTCGGAGCCGTCGTGTCCTCCGTGGACAGAGAGGACGCCGAGGTTTGTCTGGACGACCTGCCGAGCAGCATCAGGTATCTCGATAATGATTGATCCCGAGAGAGCAAATTCAGCAAGGACTGACAGGAGTACAGATAAAAAGAGAAAGTAAAAATTAACTAAGATGTTACAGCCCAGCTCCCTGGGGAAAGGGGGCGTACGCATAAACCAGATGTGTTTGGTATGGTGGAAAAGTTATTTATTCACACAAGACTTTTTACCAGGTTTAAACAACAAAAGCCTCCTCCAGATATTTGGCGTGCTAAATGTCTGGCAGAAGTCGGCGATGTGTCAGACAGGGAGCCGTTTTGATGCGTCGTTGAGTAGTTCACACATAACGACTGGCGATCAATCGCTGATTTACTCCCGATCACAGCCTGACGGTCGCCGAGCTCACCGAGCGGCAAATCGGGCTTAAAATCGCGTAGAGTGAACGAGGCTTAATGGACTAAACAAAGAAAATATCCTGAACGTGTAGAGTGGGTATCGGTATTTACTCTACAACCTAACCCAACTCTGCAGAAACACGGCAAAACACAACTAACTCAAGTGTGCTACTCAACAAACGCTCAGTAAGGTAATACTGCTGCAACAGGGTTACAGAGACTTTAGCTAAACAGCTAACACAAAGGCTAGTAGCAGCAGATCACAAACATGAGCAGGGAACGGAAGTGATGGCAGCTGGAACAAGCACACAATATACATACGGTCAGTGTGTGGCATGAACAGTACAGGTAGTACAGCATGTGGATTACAGCTGTGGGCGTCAGTGAGCCAGTGTTTTAAAACCTGGAACTCGATCCTGGACAGGAAATAACTGATACAGACAATATGTTTGTTTCAATATCAATAAATTATTATCATAAATTGTTTATTTAGTCAGGGGGTCTTTAGATACGTCGGACCTCCAGTTCATTTCTTTTACCTTTCAGATCTGGTGTCAGGTTCACTAATGTTGGTCTCAGTTAATGTGTTTAAGGTGACGAGTTGTGTTCTTAGGTGCGCCTGTTAAAAGGGAACAACTTAAATGCTCTAATTTTGCAGCTAAATGCAGGAAAAATAATTAATAATTGAATAAAAATCAATAATAATTTCTTTAAAAAAAGATTTGTTGTAATTTATTTTGAGATGTTTGATAAATGCTGTTGTCTCGTGTGATGGGTTTAAATGTTTGGCCTGACACTAAACTGATTTCAGTGAATTTAGACGTCTGGATGTAACTACAGATGCCTCTGGACTGGTTTCAGTTCCTCTTTAATGCAGAATGTATTTCAGGGACAGAAACTTATGTTCTTATTAACAGCAGTCTGTGGATAAATAATACTAATAAATAATAAATAAAACAGCTCCACAGTTAAAGATCCAACATTCAATAGAATGTCTTGTGCCACCAGTAAGAAAGATTAAACTTCAGGCAGAGGAGTGGACTCCAGTCACAAATATGATGACTTTAGACCCGACTTTAACTTCAACACCAATGAATCGTGTCTTAACTTGGACTTGAGCCTTTTGACTTGAACCGACTGGATGACAAACTGCGCCACTGCCTTTTTTCTGTACCGGCTAACGCAGTTCACTAAAGTATATTTCCCATTTTAAATCTTGTTATGATATAAAATGCTATTCAGTTTGGTGGAGAGCAAATTATAACTTGTTTAGGACTTTGTAAAACAATGACTTGGACACACCTCTGACTTCAGCTGTCCTCTGGGTTCACTTTAGAATAAATACGTTTTTGAACTTACTCACAGATTTGTTGTTCTTGTCAAACATTATTTGGGGAATTTTAGAAATGAAATCTTTAAAGAGCAACCATTGGATGTTATTTATGGAGGAAAACCAGCAGGAACAGTGCTGCTGTTCTGACCCGGCCACTTGTAACTGGAATGTTTCTGTTCTTCTACTTTTTGTTGTCATGAAAACAAACCCAAAATATTCAGGACAGTATAACCACACAGGCCCCAACATATATTCCGGTTTGATACTAGGGCTGCACGATGTCATGAGTGATTACATAACCGCAAAAAGTGTGTGATTTATTAAAAAGTGTGTGTGACGCTCTCTTCTGTGTGAGCGCTGCAGTCTGCTCGTTACCTTCAGCCCCTAAAACAGAAAAGCCTACGTGCAGTGAGAAAAATGTGTTTTGAGCAGTAGCTGTAGAGAAACTTGCTCCTCTTGTTCTGTTTGACTTGTTATTGTTATAAATACTGTTTATTGTTTTAACTTTCTTCAAGTTGAGAAAAACACATTTCAAAATGTCAGTATTTCGTGCATTCCTTGATAATTAAGCACGTTAGACTGATAGTATCATTTGTTTCATTATATAATAATAATCTTCAAATCGTGCAGCCCTATTTGATACTGATTTAGTCCAACTAACTTCCTCCTGACCAGCGTGACCTTTGACCTCCCGCTGTGTTTCCAGTGTGTCGCAGGTTTCCACAGAGGGAGCCCTGACTGACTCCACCCTGCCTCTGACGGTGCTGGTCAGCCGGGCGCCGGTCAGCGGCCCGGACGTGGAGCGGGTCAGCACCGGGACCAAGTACGCCCTGGAACTGTGGCTGAGAAGCCTGGAGACCCCCGTCCTCTGACCCCCACTGGACCGGGATTGGACCGGGATTGGACAGTTTTGGCTCAGAGGAATGACTCTCTCTGTAAATGTCTCTTTTTATTTTCATGTACTTTAAATCTCATCCTAATTTTGCAATAAAACAGAACCCAAAACAGAAATGACTCTAAGACCACGTGAGGCTCCACATGTTGGCATCGCTGAGATCAACGCCTTGTGCCCCCACATATATTCTCATTTATGTCTTACTTTGATTAAAACAAGGGAGCTCTACATTATCCTAAATAAGTCTTCTAAACATGGGACCATGAGATAAGTCTAATATAAATCTCTGGACTGTGGACGAGAGATGACGCTCCGATATATGCGTCGTCTTTGTGCCTCCACTTAGGGGTAATAGTACTTAAGTCAAATGTTGAGCTACTTGCACTTGAGTATTTTCTGTTTAGGGGGCTTTACTTTAACTCCTCCAATTTCAAAACCCACATTGTTCTTGTTTATCTGATGCCTGTAGTTACTGCTTGTTTTCCGATTTATTAATCAGGTAGTCACAGCATTACCGGATCATCAACATCATCATCAACATCAGTCAATGGTCATTGAGGTGAAACTATTTTAGGCAGCAAAAGAACGACTTCAGACTTTCACTTCTTCTCATGTTGGAGAGATTTGTTTCACAGAGGTAAAAATACACCTGGACAAGTCAAATGTCCACAGACTTCTGGCCGTCTTTGTTTGATATGATGTCAAACACTTTGGTCAGCTCCCACACTAAGGTGACCAGATTTCTGAAATAGAAACCGGGGACATTTTTTGTTTGGTCTTCAGTATGTCATTAAAAATGTGATGATTAAAACAGGAGACAATTTCGGTTTTTAATCTGTCAAATATAACTCTTCTGAATGTAATCAAGTTATTTTGAGGCAGAAACTACCTTTCAGTGAATAAGTAGAGGCTGCAATCACTTTCTGGCAAGTAGAAAAATGGCCATTGGTTTTGGCCATTAAAAGGTATTTCAACAGGTAAAAAGGACTGGATTGGTTTGTACACAGCAAGTAAACAAATGTGGAGTCATAAGGATAATTGCAAAAGAGATCATGTCTTTATTTTATATATAACTGAGCAGTAAGTCGTGTTAATTAGGCTAGTCTGTTTTCCAAATATAAATAAGGATATCAGACATAGGGTGACCAGACGTCCGCGTTTTCCGGGTCCCTGGTTTTGGTGGCCCGTCTGGAGCTGCATGTCCAGCTTTAGCTGGATCAAACAGACATAACATGCAAATAATCACAATTGTGGGCCAGATACCTGTTTGCAGTTTATAGCATAACCAGGCTGGACATTTAAGTAATTATTGGTAATAACAGAAGCCTGTTGTTGCAGATGGATTATGTGTTTGGTGGGCTTATGTCTAATATCCTAGTTTATATTTGGAAAAAGGGATGAAGCCTATAACTAACATGACTTAATGATATATAAAATAAAGACATGATCTCTTTTGCAATTATCCTTATGACCCTACATTATTGAACTTGCTGTGTACAAGCCAATCCAGTCCTTTTACCTGTTGGAATACTTTAAATCGGGTGGTGATGGCGCAATGGATAAGACACATGCCTTTAGTGTGAGAGACCCGGGTTCAATCCCCCACTGTGGCCCATCCGCCATTGTGTCCCTGAGCAAGACTCTGGAGCACTTAACCCCTCGTTGCTCCAGAGGCGTGTCACCTCTGACATGTATAGTAGCTGTAAGTTGCTTTGGATAAAAGCGTCAGCTAAATGAATAAATTAGATAATAGCATCATAGAGTTCGGTCTAGACCTGCTCTTTTATGAAAAGCGCTGTGAGATAACTGTTGTTGTGATTTGGCGCTATATAAATAAAATTGAATTGAATTGAATTGAATTGAATTGAATTGAATTGAATGTAATGTAAATGTAAATGGCCAACACAACCCATGTAATGCAGTATTCGACTTACCAGAAAATGATTGCAGCTTCTACATATTGACTGAAAGTGACTTGATTTCATCCAGAAGTTATATTTGACAGATTGTAAAACCAAAATTGTCCCCCCATTTTTAATTTACAATAACATAATATTTTTAATGACATACCAAACCAAAAAGGTCCCCGGTTTTCATTTCAGAAATGTGGTCACCTTATACCAAACACATAATCCATCTGCAACAACAGGCTTCTATTGTTGCCTAAAATCACGTACATGTCAGACTTTTTTTTTTTTGATTATCCACATTTGTGATTATTCTGTTAAATGAACCGTTAAAGTTTCACAAAGACAAACATTTGCTGTTACCAGGGACATAAAGTGATGTTTATTTAGACACATAAAAGCAGCTGCAGACCTAAAGATACAGGGCGGTCGGAAGAACGGTGTCGATCGACTTCCGGACGCCGAAGACTGGATGATTCACGGCTAGGAGGAGTTGTACGGTTTGGAGGGCGATTCAAATTACTTTGAGACTCATTAATCTTACAAGGGACAAGTAGTTGATATCTCAATTGGCATCTCCTGTGAGAGTTTGTGTTGTGAGCTGAAGCAGCAGGCAGCTCCCCAACGAGGGATGGGCTATGCCGCCGAAGGGGAAAACTAGTGATGGTGCTGGGAGTAATGACAAAAAGTCCAGACAATCTGAAAAAAGAGATAGATCTGACAATGGAAGTGGAAGTGAGAGTGACGAGTCCCAAAGCACAAGGAAAATGCCAAGATCTGAAGAGGAGGGTGAATTTAGGATGATAGTTAAATTCAAAGATAAAAGTGACAAAGCCTTAAACCCACTCAGACTATCGGAGGAGCTAAAAAACAAAATGGGAAAAGTTCTAAATGTGAAAATGATGATGAATGGGAATATACTTGTTTTTTGCAGAAATGATAATCAGAGGTTGAATGCCCTTAAAGTTCGGCATTTGCTTAACAGGCCTGTTGAATGTTTCGTTCCTGGTCAGGCTAAAAATGCTAAAGGAGTGATCTATGTAAGCCTTGAGATAGAAGAGAGTGACATCTTGAAGAATTTAAAGGGAGCTGAGGTTGTAGCTGTACGGAGATTCAAAGAAACCGGTAATGCTGTGCTATTAACATTCAAGCAAGATATTGTGCCAGCAAGGGTCAGCCTTGGATATATTAGCTTGCCAGTGAGACAGTATATTCGTCCCCCACTGCGTTGTTACAATTGTCAACGCTATGGCCATGTAGCAGCAGCATGCGGAGGGAAAAAAAGATGTGGGAAGTGTGGAGGAAGCCATGACTTTATTCAATGTAAAGCTGATATAGTCAAGTGCTGTAACTGTGGCGGAAATCATGTATCTTCATTTAGGGGGTGTGAGCATCATGTTAGAGCTGTGGGAGTAGAGAAATTGAGAGTTGAAGGCAAAATATCATATGCAGATGCCCTGAAGAAAGTGAGGGGAACGGGGGAACCTTCCAGACAAGTGGTAGTTGAAGTGCCTTCTGATCCCCAGCCTGATAGGGAGAAAGTGAGGCAGATTGTGGGAACCCAGTCATTCCTGGCATTCATGGTAGATGTTCTGTGGGCAGTTAGAGACCAAACCAGAAGATCTGACGTTATTAAAGTGGTGGTGGATGCTGCAGAGAGATTTCTGGAAGAGGCATGTATGGGTCCAGAAGAGTTGCACAAGTATATGAGACAGAAACTGGAAGTTTACGAAAGAGGTAGGGGAAAACAAAAGATCACTGACAGTAATGAGGAATGTACTGGGGGAAGAAACATGGACATAAATGATGATAGGTAAATTGCTGATGTTTTACATCTTACAATGGAATGCACGGAGTTTGATGGCTAATGGACAGGAACTTAAGAGATTTGTTGATGAATTTAAGGATCTACCAGAGGTGATATGTATTCAGGAAACTTGGCTTAAACCATGCTTAGATTTTGTGATTCCTGGATATGAAAGTAACAGATATGATAGAAAAGGAAAGTCTGGGGGAGGGTGTGCAACATTTATAAGATCAGATGTACAGTATCAAAATGTAGAGATAATGTCTAAACTAGAATGTGTTATAGTAAGAGTTTGGGGACAGCACAGGTGGATTAACATAATAAACATGTATAATCCTTGTTTGCAAATAAATCTAAGCGAGTTGGAGTGGGTTATGGAACAAGTAGGGACACCGGTCATTTGGGTGGGGGATTTTAACTCTCACAACCCTCTTTGGGGTAGCAGAATAAAAGATAATAATGGGAGCACTATAGAGGAATTTATGGACAGGTGGAGATTAGTTTGTTTAAATGATGGCAGGCCAACTAGATTTGATATTAGAACAGGAAATGTTTCATATATAGATTTGGCATTAGCGTCCAGTGAACTAGCTAGGGTTGGAGAGTGGGATTCTTTGGACAGATATACAATAGGGAGTGATCATTACCCAATATTATTGAGGTTTGGGAAAACTTTATTGAGTGAAGAACAGGGTAACCAAAACTTATTTAATTATAGTAAGGCAGATTGGGCACTTTTTTCTGAAAAGTGTAACAAAACTATAGAGGAAGTAAATGAGGAAGGGACAATAGAGGAATGGAATAGCAGCTTATGTGAAATAATTATGAAAAGTGCAATTGAATCTATCCCGATAAAGAAGTGTTCTAAAAGGAAAATTAGTGTGCCATGGTGGAACAAGGACTGTGATAAAGCAGTAAGAGACAGGAATTGCGGGTATAGAGCATTGAGGAAACATCCAACAGAAGATAAAGCAGTAGAATATAAAAGACTGCGAGCCAAAGCACGCAGAGTGATTAAGACTGCAAAAAAAGAGTGCTGGAGAAAATACTGTGGAAAACTAGGGGCAGAGACTGCAGTAACAGAAATATGGCGGGCAGTACATCGTATGGCAGGAAGTAATAGGAAAAGGAAAATGCCAGTTTTAGAGGAGGGAGGATTGTTTGCTACAAGTGATTTGGATAAAGCAAAGCTATGTGAAAATAGCTTTAGAGCTGTTCACAGTGGAGCTAACATTGGTGAAGCAGGTATAAGGAAAAGAAATGAGATATTAGAGCAAAATCGATACAAACTTGAGATAAATAATGATAATTCTGATGTGGGTAATTTATTTTTCTCATTAGAAGAATTGCACAGGGCAATTGGAAAAGGAAGGAAAACAGCCCCGGGAAAGGATGGTGTTAGCTATGAGATTGTTAAGAATCTTAGTGACAAAGTTTTGGAGGAAATCTTGGCCTTAATGAATCACATATGGCAAGAGGGAAGTCTACCTAGCACATGGAAGCATGCACTGGTGGTTCCAATATTGAAACCAGGGAAAGACGCTTATAAGGCAGGATCATACAGGCCCATTGCACTGACATCAGTCCTATGTAAAATAATGGAAAGGATGGTTACAGACAGATTGGTTTATAAGTTAGAGAAGAAGGGATGGTTTACATCAGTACAAAGTGGATTCCGTAGAGGGAGAAGTACCATGGATGCCGTTACGTCCCTTGACAGTGATATAAAGAAAGCAATGGTGAATAGAGAAGTATTAATGGCGGTGTTTATTGATATTGAAAAGGCGTATGACATGCTATGGAAGGAGGGGCTTGTCATAAAACTATATGAGGCTGGAGTCAGAGGGAGGATGATTAACTGGATACAAGACTTCTTGAAGGACAGGAGAATTCAAGTTAGGGTTGCAAATGCTTTATCAGCTGGAACAGGTATCGATAACGGAACTCCTCAGGGTAGCGTGATAAGCCCAGTCCTTTTCAATATTATGATAAATGATATATTTGAAGAAATTGGGAATAGTTTTGGAAAATCTCTATTTGCTGATGATGGGGCCATCTGGAAAAGGGGCAGGAATGTCAAACAAATAACTGAGCAAATGCAAGTAGCTCTGAACAAAGTAACTAGTTGGGGTGAAAAGTGGGGGTTGAGGATATCAGTGGAGAAATCAAAGTATATAATATTTGGTAATAAGAAAACTGAATGTGGTGGTTTATTTTTGTATGAACAAGCAATTGAGAGGGTTAAAGAGTTCAAATTTTTGGGTGTGCATTTGGATGAGAAGCTAACATGGAAAAAGCAGATAGATAATGTTGTAAATAAGTGTGAAAAGGTATTAAATGTAATGCGTTCCCTCTCAGGTAGCACATGGGGTGCAGGCAGAGATACTCAACTAATGATCTACAGGGCAATGATAAGATCTAGGTTGGATTATGGATGTGTGTGTTATGGGACAGCCGCTGATACACATTTAAAGAGGCTGGAAGTAATACAAGCTAAGGCACTGAGACTATGTTGCGGGGCCCTCCGTACAACTCCAGTCCCAGCTTTGTTGGTAGAGATGGGGGAAATGCCATTGTCAATTAGACGGGAGAAATTGGCAATGCAGTATATTGTTAAATTATGGGCACATAAAGGAGAACACCCTACAAAAATAGTTCTAAGTAATGCGTGGGAGTGGGGATCAGGGAAAAGGAGGAAGGAATGTTTTATGTTTAACATCAGGAAAAAAATTGAGGAACTGGGACTGAAGGAGGAAGGGATGGCCCCGCAAGTGTACTGGTCAGTTGTACCACCGTGGTTGATGTCCATACCAGAAATAGATCTTAGTATAATGGATAACATCAAACATCATGAAGGCACAGAGTATCCCAATATGGTAAAGCGAAGACTGGAAAATCAGTGGGGAACTTACCTTCAGATATATACAGATGGATCCCAAGATCCACAAACTGGGAAGTCAGGCTTTGCTTTTTATATCCCACAATATGAATATGTAAAGCTTAAACGACTGTCTGAGGGGGTATCGGTGTATACAACAGAACTTCTAGCTATTATATGGGCACTAAAGTGGATAGAGGAAGTGCAACCAAGGAGAGCAGTAATATGCTCAGATTCGGCTTCAGTGTTAAAAACTCTGGGAGGAAGTAATATGGGAGCTCGGCCAGATCTGTTTATGGAGCTGATGGTTCTGTTGTATAAAATCGAAAAGGCTGGAGGGTCAGTGGGATTTCTCTGGGTCCCTGCACATGTTGGGGTAGAAGGGAATGAGGTGGCAGACAAGGTAGCAAAAATGACTCTGAAAAGAGATATTGATTTAGAAGTTTGTATTGGGGTCACCGAATGTAGATCTGTCATTAAGGAAAACACTATAGTAGTATGGCAGAGGCAGTGGGAAAAGGAAACAAAGGGCCGGCATTATTATGCAATACAAAACAAAGTAAAGACAGAGCAGAGTTGCTTGGGTAAATCCAGAAGACAAGCTGTAATTATGACAAGACTAAGGCTGGGACACTGTGGATTTGCATGGGATCTAGCGAAGATAGGCAAACATGAGGATGGGCTCTGTAGAACCTGCAATCAACAACAGACTGTTAATCATGTGTTTATGGAATGTCAACAGTATAAAAGGCAAAGAGAACAACTGTATTCTGAGGTAGCAGGAGATGGACTACAAGCAGTGACATTGAGAGATATTTTGAATCCTCATGAGAACCAATCAAGGATAGTGGAAGCAGTCATGGATTTTATATCTGCAACAGGATTAGCCCTCTGAGAATGAAGGTGCTATAAAGCGATACCGAGACTGAACTGTGGGTGGCAGCAATATGCCGTAAGGCATCTAGTCTGCCGGAAAGCCAGTAGAAGAGAAGAAGAAGAAGAAGATACAGGGCGGGAACGTTACATGCTGCGCGCGCTCCCGCGGACGGCAATTAGTTTTCGGCGGGCGATCACTTTTCGCCACGACACCTGTCTGCTCTGCTGTCCAGTCTTTCTGGCCACGAAAAATCTGATTTCAGGTCTGTTAACACCTTATACAGTCTACAGCACACAGTTAAATACGGGGACATTTCCGGGACAGCTCATTAAACCCGGGGACTGTCCCCGGAAAACGGGGACGTCTGGTCACCCATCCCACGGTCACGTCCGTGTTTTCTCCAGTTTTCACTGTTTCTGTAAATTGGTGAAACAGCGCCCCCATGGATTGTAACGCCTGGTAACAGCAGCCTGTGTGGCCAGAGGTGGTATTGCACTCGAGCAGTTGCGCCAGTCGTGTAGCAGGTGGAGGTGATTACGGACGGTCAGACGCGTCACTGTGAGACTCTGAATGAACAGGACTCTGGGAATAAACGGTTACTTTATTTAGCGAGTTAAGTTTGTAATATTAATCAGACAACCAGCCGGGTCAGCGTACAGTGTTGCTAATCCTGTCTGCTAACGTGTTGTGTTGGCTTGGTGAGCTAGCAGCGATGGCGGGAGAAGTTCTGTTAGCAAACAAACAAAATGGCGTCACGGTGACAGCTGCAGCGGCCGTTAACGTTATCTGACTCGGATATGGAGCAAGTCCCCTCCATGAAAGACTGAGGATTGGACTAGTATGTGAGTAAAACTTAAATACTCTGGTTCTTGCCGTAACAGTTGTTTTGGAGGTGATATGTTTCTTAAATGTAGTTACATTACTGCCTCGACACTTACAGCTACAACATCCGGTTCGGCAGTTCCAGATCAAAAACCACTAACTTACCCCCCCTAGAGCTGTCAGATCTGGACTAGAATGTTTCAGATTTGTGAAACATTTCATCTATTTGTGAAAATGCAAAAAAAAAGGACGATTTATATGTTATTGTTTTTTAGCATGTAAGTTAGACCAACGGTCTGTAATACGAAGTGAGGTAACCGGCTTATCCAGGTGACGTCAGGAGTATATATATATATATATATAAAAATATAAAACCCGTCAGTAGTAATAAATAACATATAAAACCCGTACTACGGAAGGCGGATAACCGGGGTCTGTTGCCATGGCAACACAGGCCGCATCTGTAAACTGCTCCGAGCAGGTTTTGTTGGTGGTTACCTCGAGGTTCCCCTGCACGTGGACTCCACACCACATCTGTACTCAGTGTTCAGGAGGAGAAGCAGGATATTAATACACTCCGCTTCATAAAATGATGTTTCATCCTGATTTGTTCCTCTGCGGCTGAAACACATCAGCATCACGTTCAGACAGCGAGACCTGCAGCCGAGCTGGGATTTTAGAGACGAATCTTAATTAATTAACGGGACAGTTTCTTAGATGGAGCCCGTCTCGAGGCTATAATTGAATTCTCCTAAATCTTTGTACATATTTAGATTGACTATTTTACATGTCCAAAAATACGGAGCAAGGGTTTAAATTCTGCACGAGTTCTTTTACTTTTCATACTTGAAGTACATTTAGCTGATAATACTTACATGTAAGTAATGTTACAATAATTTAGTATTTTATTTGTAATGGAGTATTTTTAGACTACTTTTACTTAAGTAATGGCTCTGAGTACTTCTTCCATGTAGATAAGATTTATAGACTTTATTGATCCCACACTGGGGACATTCACTTGTTACAGCAGCTCCAGATACACTTTTAATCAAAAATGGAATAGAAAAATACAATAAATAGTAGAAAGTAAATTAATTAAGAGGAAAAAAGCCCAACGTTTTAATGCTTGCAGCCTTTTCTGGTCTTACAGAACATTACATATCTTTGGGTTTTGGAAATTGTGACAGGCATGTTCACAGTGTTCTGAAGCTTAATAAACCAAGTCAATTATTAATTATTCCAGAAGATAATCAGAAGTTTAATTTATAAAAAAAAAAAATTCCAGTCAACTCCATAGAGTTGTGAAGGTGTTTTAATAATAATAAATCAAAATAAAACAATTTACGACTGACAAAGGTGTAGACTGAAGCCTTTTATTACTTAACAATTCCCTTCCCTTGCTCCACCCAACATAGCAGTGAAACTAAATAAATAAATATGATAAGAACCAGCTTAAAACACAAACAGGTAGACACATTTCTGAATGTCAGTTACATCTTTGGTGACATCTAGAGGTTTTGAACATTTTCTTAAACTTACACACATTACTACATTCTGTTAGTTCAGAAGTTGAGTCACTAATGAAAATAAAGTTAGGTACAGCCTTACTCAGAGCTCTACCCTGAACTTCTGTCAGACTGAGCAGTTTGTAGTGTCAAACTTTTAACACCAGAAGCAGCTTAGGGAAAGATGTTATCTCAGAATGCAAAGGCGAACACTGAGGAGGAAACCTTTGGACTGTCACCTTCCTCTTCTGTCAGGAGCTCCTTTGAGCCTGAAGATGGTTTGAGAATACGAACCCTGAAGTTGCTGCTCTGCTGCAGAGTTTCACCCGGCAGGTAACTGCTGAACCTGAGCCTTCAGGCCAGCAGGGGGCGCTGCAGACCAGCCTGAAGTCCTTCAGCTCTGCAGAGTGTGATGAAAGCTGAGCGTCTTCAGTCTGAGCTTCAAAGGCTCCAGCAGAGGAAGTACTCTGATCCATTACTGGAGTACAAGTACTAATACCACAGTGTGAAAACGCTCTGATAGAAGTAAAAGTACTAATACCACAGTGTGAAAACGCTCTGATAGAAGTAAAAGTACTAATACCACAGTGTGAAAACACTCTGATAGAAGTAAAAGTACTAATACCACAGTGTGAAAACGCTCTGATAGAAGTAAAAGTACTAATACCACAGTGTGAAAACGCTCTGATAGAAGTAAAAGTACTAATACCACAGTGTGAAAACGCTCTGATAGAAGTAAAAGTACTAATACCACAGTGTGAAAACGCTCTGATAGAAGTAAAAGTACTAATACCACAGTGTGAAAACGCTCTGATAGAAGTAAAAGTACTAATACCACAGTGTGAAAACGCTCTGATAGAAGTAAAAGTACTAATACCACAGTGTGAAAACGCTCTGATAGAAGTAAAAGTACTAATACTACAGTGTGAAAACGCTCTGATAGAAGTAAAAGTACTAATACTACAGTGTGAAAACACTGATAGAAGTAAAAGTACTAATACTACAGTGTGAAAACGCTCTGATAGAAGTAAAAGTACTAATACCACAGTGTGAAAACGCTCTGATAGAAGTAAAAGTACTAATACTACAGTGTGAAAACGCTCTGATAGAAGTAAAAGTACTAATACTACAGTGTGAAAACGCTCTGATAGAAGTAAAAGTACTAATACCACAGTGTGAAAACGCTCTGATAGAAGTAAAAGTACTAATACCACAGTGTGAAAACGCTCTGATAGAAGTAAAAGTACTAATACCACAGTGTGAAAACGCTCTGATAGAAGTAAAAGTACTAATACCACAGTGTGAAAACGCTCTGATAGAAGTAAAAGTACTAATACTACAGTGTGAAAACGCTCTGATAGAAGTAAAAGTACTAATACCACAGTGTGAAAACGCTCTGATAGAAGTAAAAGTACTAATACCACAGTGTGAAAACGCTCTGATAGAAGTAAAAGTACTAATACCACAGTGTGAAAACGCTCTGATAGAAGTAAAAGTACTAATACCACAGTGTGAAAACGCTCTGATAGAAGTAAAAGTACTAATACCACAGTGTGAAAACGCTCTGATAGAAGTAAAAGTACTAATACCACAGTGTGAAAACACTCTGATAGAAGTAAAAGTACTAATACCACAGTGTGAAAACGCTCTGATAGAAGTAAAAGTACTAATACCACAGTGTGAAAACGCTCTGATAGAAGTAAAAGTACTAATACCACAGTGTGAAAACGCTCTGATAGAAGTAAAAGTACTAATACCACAGTGTGAAAACGCTCTGATAGAAGTAAAAGTACTAATACCACAGTGTGAAAACGCTCTGATAGAAGTAAAAGTACTAATACCACAGTGTGAAAACGCTCTGATAGAAGTAAAAGTACTAATACCACAGTGTGAAAACGCTCTGATAGAAGTAAAAGTACTAATACTACAGTGTGAAAACGCTCTGATAGAAGTAAAAGTACTAATACTACAGTGTGAAAACACTGATAGAAGTAAAAGTACTAATACTACAGTGTGAAAACGCTCTGATAGAAGTAAAAGTACTAATACCACAGTGTGAAAACGCTCTGATAGAAGTAAAAGTACTAATACTACAGTGTGAAAACGCTCTGATAGAAGTAAAAGTACTAATACTACAGTGTGAAAACGCTCTGATAGAAGTAAAAGTACTAATACTACAGTGTGAAAACGCTCTGATAGAAGTAAAAGTACTAATACCACAGTGTGAAAACGCTCTGATAGAAGTAAAAGTACTAATACCACAGTGTGAAAACGCTCTGATAGAAGTAAAAGTACTAATACTTCAATGTGAAAACACTGATAGAAGTAAAAGTACTAATACCACAGTGTGAAAACGCTCTGATAGAAGTAAAAGTACTAATACCACAGTGTGAAAACGCTCTGATAGAAGTAAAAGTACTAATACCACAGTGTGAAAACGCTCTGATAGAAGTAAAAGTACTAATACCACAGTGTGAAAATGGTCTGATAGAAGTAAAAGTACTAATACTTCAATGTGAAAACACTGATAGAAGTAAAAGTACTAATACTACAGTGTGAAAACGCTCTGATAGAAGTAAAAGTACTAATACTACAGTGTGAAAACGCTCTGATAGAAGTAAAAGTACTAATACCACAGTGTGAAAACGCTCTGATAGAAGTAAAAGTACTAATACTACAGTGTGAAAACGCTCTGATAGAAGTAAAAGTACTAATACCACAGTGTGAAAACGCTCTGATAGAAGTAAAAGTACTAATACTACAGTGTGAAAACGCTCTGATAGAAGTAAAAGTACTAATACCACAGTGTGAAAACGCTCTGATAGAAGTAAAAGTACTAATACTACAGTGTGAAAACGCTCTGATAGAAGTAAAAGTACTAATACTACAGTGTGAAAACGCTCTGATAGAAGTAAAAGTACTAATACCACAGTGTGAAAACGCTCTGATAGAAGTAAAAGTACTAATACTACAGTGTGAAAACGCTCTGATAGAAGTAAAAGTACTAATACTACAGTGTGAAAACGCTCTGATAGAAGTAAAAGTACTAATACTACAGTGTGAAAACGCTCTGATAGAAGTAAAAGTACTAATACTACAGTGTGAAAACGCTCTGATAGAAGTAAAAGTACTAATACTACAGTGTGAAAACGCTCTGATAGAAGTAAAAGTACTAATACCACAGTGTGAAAACGCTCTGATAGAAGTAAAAGTACTAATACTACAGTGTGAAAACGCTCTGATAGAAGTAAAAGTACTAATACTACAGTGTGAAAACGCTCTGATAGAAGTAAAAGTACTAATACCACAGTGTGAAAACGCTCTGATAGAAGTAAAAGTACTAATACTACAGTGTGAAAACGCTCTGATAGAAGTAAAAGTACTAATACTACAGTGTGAAAACGCTCTGATAGAAGTAAAAGTACTAATACTACAGTGTGAAAACGCTCTGATAGAAGTAAAAGTACTAATACCACAGTGTGAAAACGCTCTGATAGAAGTAAAAGTACTAATACTACAGTGTGAAAACGCTCTGATAGAAGTAAAAGTACTAATACTACAGTGTGAAAACGCTCTGATAGAAGTAAAAGTACTAATACTACAGTGTGAAAACGCTCTGATAGAAGTAAAAGTACTAATACTACATGTCATCAGTCACTCCGTATTGTTCAGAATATCGACGGTATGATAGTATTTCTTTAGTTTGTCGTTTTTTCTGAAAATTGTGGGGTCAAGGCGTTTTGGGCTCTGCAGAATATTTTCCACGCCACTGATCGATCCTGTAAAGTTTGATATTTAAAGTTTCATCCTGTTGGCCGCCGTGTGAAACGGGCTCTGTTGTCACATCATGTTTGCTGCCAGTTATTGATTCTTTTGTCTCGGGCACGTTGATTTCTAGCACGCCATGTTTGAAGAGCCAGAGAGGCAGTGTCCCCCGCAGGGTGTGTTTCCTGTTAAAGGTCATGTGACGGGCAAACTTTAACGGCTGTAAATGTTTCTCATTGATCCTAGATTCTTTGGTAAATGGAGAGAACAGAAAGGGAAATTTCTGACCTCCGACAAGAAAAAGAAAAAAACGGAACGCCACTTGAAGTTGGATTTCCTACTTGGAGTAAAATATGTACTTGAGGAGCAGCAGCCGAATGACGACAATGGCAGCTCCCATGGAAGCACATTGTAGATAGTAAACAATAACATAAAGTTTATTTGCATGCGTTTTAAAAAGTTAAAAAAGTGTAAATACTATCAAATAGTAAAACCTGTTCTGCATGTAAACTGATGTAGAAATCTGTTGCTAGGTGACTCATCTTCTCTGCACAAAGGTTATTCTGTAAAATGAAAAAATTGCCAAAACATTAGGAAGTATAATGTCGGCTACAACGTTTACTGTGTTTTGAAGACGACCACTTCAGTTTTCAGTGCAACTGGGTGCACAGTTGATAAAGAGTTTGTCACAGTCAGCTGTTTATTTTGTTCACTTTCAGCGTCGGGCACCAACATGCACCTGGAACGCTTTGAGGTTGGAAGTCGGATATTTCAGCCTGGAAATTTCCCAGTTGGGAACGGTCTGGAACGCGGCATTACGTTTTGTAGCCTCGTCTGCTTTTAACAGCCGGGAAATGTATTAAGCCAATCATGCGGTTCGGTTGACGTCAGGGTCTAGTACGCATGCGTAGTACAAGTTTAACCGGTGGGGAAAAAGTCATCACATTTTTTCAGCTGTTCATGCTGCTTCTATACATGCAGGTTTTACAACACGTTCATCAGAGAGAGGCCTTGTTAGTCCCAGATAACTGCCCAGAGGCGTTACCAAGATGGCTGCCGAGTGGCGACACTCACCTAAAGCGGATACGAGTTGCCTCTGTCCTGGTCGCCATGGTAGCGATCTGTCAATCAGCTTGTAGCCCCGCCCTAAAGCCTCCCCTGCTTCCTGGTCTCTGTTCCTCTAAATGGGACCATAATTTACTAAATGAACACCATGCTGTGTTGAAGAAGACTTGAAACTAGCGACTGAGACCAGAAACTCATCAGGAAAGTGTTTACTGAGGGAATAAATCAGCTGACAAGTAGAAACAGTTTCTCACAGACTTCTATACAATCTGAATGCTGCTAAATATCCTGTCATCAGATTATTATTCAGGGCTGTTTCTCATGTTGTTGTTGTTGTTGTTGTTTGTCAGATGCAGAGTCGGCAGCCGGTGCTTCTGGTTCCTCTTCCTGTGCAGCAGCAGATCTCAGCGCTCCTCTGGACGGTTAGTTTCCTCTCTGAACCTCCTCCATGTGGATTTTAAACAGTTTACACATAAAATGTGTTTTTAGCAAAAGAGAAAAACAGGTCGATGTGTGTTTGTCCTGCTCTCAACGTCTCCTGTAGCTTCAACTACGGACGTGTAGAACTTAAGTTCACCTGGAAAGAAATGCTTTAAAATCTATTTTCATCAAAATTGACATCAGAACATCACAGATCAAGAACAAAGGATTAATCGTCAATCAGGAAAATGTTGGAGGAAGTTTCAGGTCCCTTACTTAAGTAAAAGTATTAATACTACACTCTGAAAATACTGTTACATGTTCTTTCAGTAAAAGTATGTGGGTATAATCCGGAAATGTCCTTAAAGTAATAAAGCAGTTAAATGTTAGATGTCCTCTCCTCAGATTCTTCTTCCTCCTCATTTAAGTGCAGCTGATGATTCTTTGCATTCTGGATCAATGTGCTGATTATTTCCTCCATCGATCCACTGATTGTTTGGTTGGTAAAGATTCTGCCGCCACAGTTTCCCAGAGCCCAGAGACGCCTTCACGAGCTCAACGTTACTAACAAACATCAGTTATTACAATCATTCAGAGGAGAAGCTGCAAATCTTCTTAAACAGCTGTCAGTTCAATACTTGAATAAACTCTTGGAAGGTTTAATTTATAACGAAACATCAGATTTTATAAACTCTTCATGTGTTTTATGTGTACAAATCTGTTAAATACTCGATAAAGTACAAGTAGCTGAAATGTGTTCAGTCCAGTACTTCTACTACTTCTCAGAGACCTTCCTCTTTCATTCCTGATAATGAAAATAATGGTTAGCTGGAGCCCTAAATGAAACACAAGTCCTCTTTCATATTTAAAACTTAATTCCTGTTTCATTGAATTAGAATTTCCCCTTTTTCCCCTTGTTCTTGATGATGATCCACCTGCAGTGCTGGAGTGTGGTTTTCTTTTACGAAGTCATTATTGTAATAGTGAGAGCGTTTAATAATTAATAATGAGATAATAAACCTGTTTCTGTGCAGCGGGGAGTTACAGAAGAGTTCAGGTGAATCACAGCTGACAGGAAGTGAATCGTGTTAAGCTGAGCGTGTTTGTTCTGCTGTTTGCAGGACGGGAGGACGGAGACCAGCGGCAGTCTGAGCGGGAGGAGGGACGGCCTGTGAGTCAGTCACATCGTTAACCTTTTAATGAATGTTACACAAAATAAATCCCGTAAAACGACACTCGCTCACATGTTTAAGTTAGATGCCCGGTTGTTTAAATCTGTAGCTCCGTCGTCTCTGCTTCCCCAAACCTTAAAAACATTTCAGACTAAACTTTAAACAGAGTGCAGCCAGTTTGTTTTTTCTTGGTCGCACCGCAGGGCTCTACGCCAACCTTTTCCCCGAGGAGCACGTGTAACAGAGTTTAACAAACTATTTATCTTACACATATTTATACTACATGTGTGCTTCTTCTCATTGTGTTCAACTGTGGTGTGAAACCAGTAGAGGACAGGAAGTGAAGACCCTGGTATCTGGACACCTCGGCATCGACCTTAATATTTCGTTAAAGCTTTTTACACTGATCAGTCTGATCAGGGACGGATTCACGACCCACCAGCAGCAGCCAAACAACCCACAGCAGATGGAAACAAGACTAGTGAGCAGCGTTACAGTAACTTTAGTGAATCTGAACGAGGGGAAGGCTGGAAGCAGCACATACTGGCAGACGCTCTTTCACAGAACATGGACGAGAAACTAGTTTAAATGAGTGTAATATAACAACATTTCAATTTTAATCTAATAGTATGCTGCTGGTATGTTGATATATAAATTATTTATTATTATTTTACCATGTGTAGGCTAATGTCACTTTATGTAATAGTACACTATACAGCACCACTGGTATAAAATGAATTCCATTTGGACAAAACAGCAGTTTCATATTTTCAGTTATTAAATACTTGTGCAAGAAAAATGGCCGACTTAATTTGTTAATGCAGCTATCGCTCATCAATAATCAGAACCATTCCTGCAGTTCAACCATTCATGCATTTGAAAGTTTACTGAAGCACGTCAAACCATTTCTATATCCCGCCTGTGATTGGTCAGTTGACGAAAAGTGAAATTAACGAGCACGTCGATTTTATGAAAAGTTGAACACGTTTCAACAAAAAACACCTGATATGGCTGAATATCCAGCTCGCTAAACCCACGTCCTCCTCATCTCCTCCCTGCTGTCTGCTGGTTTGGCCGCTAATAAAACTGGTTTCAAAGCACCAATCTGTACCGCGCGTATCTCGTAATTTAATTAAAAGTCCCGTAGAAGAAAACGGTGGAACAGAACAGGGGAGTGAAAAAAAAGTGTGACACAGTGTTTGAGTGTGTAAAATGATTGTGTAATCCCCGCCTGTGGTCATAGTCTACCTTTTAACTGAGCCCAGAGAGCGGTCAGGTCTCAGGTGAGGAAAGTGAGAGTGAACAGGGTGTTGACAGAACAGCTGTCAGACTATGATGGGTGTTCCTTTGATATCACACGCACGCCTGAGTCACTCTGCACCCGTCAGGCGATTTCCTGACAGTGTTGGCCATAATGAAGCCCCGCCTCTTCCCCTCAGCCATCAGTCAGTTTTTTTCTTTCTTCAACAGGACCGCAGTAGAAACCTTTTGAAGTGATCGATCAGCTCGGGGCAGAACAACACCTGTACGAATGCTGTTTAAATAATTCACTTGGGCCAGTCGGTTTGACACTTTCTGTCCCTCCCTCCAAAAGTTATTTATCAGTGTTTGGATATAAAAAACTAAAAACCACAGTTAAAATCATAAAAAATCAAAAGTTTAACAAAACAATTTACTTTTAAAACAAAACATACTAACAGACTCGAACATGACGTGCTCCCTCTCCCACCATAGTAGCGACCTGTCGATCAGCTTGTAGCCCCGCCCTAAAGCTCCTGAACACTCTGCGGTAGGGCTGCAGCCAACGATGATTTTAGTATTCGAGGCTTCTATAGATTATTTCAGCGATTCATCGATGCGTCGTTTAAGAAGTACTTTTGCTTGGCGGTGCCCCTCCCCCCCCAATAAATAGATATTTATTGGTCTTTTTGGAAATTCATAGTGTGTCATACAGCAAACATCAAAACAACAACCAGACAGCTGCTTTACAAACACAAACATCACCGAGTGCTACAAGTTACACTAAAGGCTCCTGCAGACTACACGACCGATGGACGTGCCGTTCACACAACCTGCTGTAATATGACGGCAGTCTTGAAGCCGTTGTGGCGTTCACACTACGTGCTCCCTACGTCCTCCTACAGCTCCCCGTCACCCAGTTACCTCCTGACTGTGAGGTCACAGCTCACGGCCCAAAAAGGACGTGGTCACATTTTCAGCTGAGGTCTGCGGCGTACTTTGGCTTCAACTTAACAATCAGTCAGGATTTCAGCTAAATGCTAAAGTTACCGTTAGCTCGTCTGTGGTCCGCCTGCAGAACTGATCAGGCGGCGTCGTGCTGTTGCCGAGGCGACATAAGTTGGGTTTACGGTGGACGGATGGTAACATCAGTTGTTGTTTTCTTTAGCTTGAAATAATCCCAGACTTTGTCGCCGTTTTCTCTTTTCCTCCACTTTGCAAACAGCGGCATCATAATCACATCGTGTTCACAGCGTAAACGCCATGTGCAACAGTAATAAATGTCCCTGCAAAACACTGTGCTGGAAAGTTACATGGATTAAACGAAGCATCGATGCAAAGAATTTGTGTTGAAGCATTTTATGAATCGATTTTATTGATTTAATCGATAAATCGTTTCAGCCCTACGATGCAGAGAACACTTCCTCTGATAACACCTCTAACCTCTAACATGCACTTCCTGTGCTCTTCTTCTTCTGTCATCCACAATTATCTTGTATTGATTGCACTTTTTGTTAACTCTTACTTCCTTCCCTCGGTATTTACCCCATTGATGTGATATGAACTATGAGCTCTTACTAGTATGTTTTGTCAGTTGTAGATCTGTAGTTGATGCTTGTTCCTCAAATGTAAGTCGCTTTGGATAAAAGCGTCTGCCAGATGAGTGAATGTACAACGGTACGCGCCATGAGCTGCAAAGCAACTGCAGGATGTCGAGTTTCTAATCTGTTTATTTTAAATACTAATGTTTTTTGTTTTCGGGTTGCTAGTTCAACTGTCCCGACGTTACTTTTTACCCCGAGCCTTCGGGCCATTGCCATGGTAACCAGTCCTACTCTGCTGCAGCATCTGCTGCAGGAGAGCACGTCGGCCTCAATAAGAGGGCGCGTTTCAGCAGCACTGTAGAAGGTGTGACAACAAGCCTGACAATATTTAAATATGTACTGAAGCAAAATACTTTTCTAAGCGTAAAACTAAGACACGGAGTCTAGTTTATTTATCGGTAGGAACTTCAACAGTTACAATTAGTGAACAAACATCATCAAACGAACAACATGTAAGCTCACAAACACAACAGAGGAAAAAAACTAGAGTTATTGGAAATAGTTTGTACAAAGATTCAGTGACTGAGAAGAGCTGGGAAGCACAGGAGCTCCTCTTCATCCTGAGAAGCTGCCTCTGTAACTTCTACTGTACATTTACTGCTGAACGAGGAGCCGACCCGCTTCTCTCTGTTCACCCGTTCACCCTGTCCGGCAGAAACAGAGCGCCCTCAGCATCGGTTTTCATTCCTCTCTAATCTCCTAGATTTATCCAGCACTGAAGCCGCTCACAGATGTTCACACAGGTCTTCCCCTCGCCTGCTCTTAGAACGTCTTTCCCTCTGTGGCTGTTTCTGAGTCCAGCGTGTTCGAACGTACCGCTGTTTGTTTACGCTGTCTCTCCCACTGCTTGGAGCGCGCCCCAGCCAATGAGAGCTGAGCGGGAAGCGTCCCCAGCGTGTAGCTGCTCTATAAAATGTAGAAACCTGCTGATTCCCTCCTCTCAGCCTCGAATTCATCCACAGTTTGATTCACGCACAAGGTCGACCAGCTGATGACGACGCGTCTGCCTCCGTGTTTGTTTCCGTCTAGAGTCACGTTTGATCACGCAGGATTCGCGCCGGAACCGCCGCTCTGAAACCGTTTAGTAAGTATAAACGCACGTGTGGTCCTGGTCCTCTCCTGTGCATCAGACATAAGGAAACTTTTTCCCAGCATACATTTTGAATTGTCAGGTGGAGCTAATTACATTAATGATGGCTCTGTTCCAGTGATATTATTATATCAGTATTATTAATTTCCCTTCACTCCAGTCTGAGAATCACTGCCTTAACAGAACATTTATTCTGAAAATCTGCTCTCAGAATAGCTGAGTTTATCTCCCAAGAAAAGGAAAAAACTGCTGTATTGACTATTTTCAAAAAGAAATTGTGAATCGCTTCCATCTTCCCGTCAGTCAGACAGCAGAGCCAATCATGATAAAATCAGCAGGACTGGTAAACCTGTGGATTTACAGGCAGACAAAGACGTGAATATAAAATGTGTAACGAGATATCAAAAACGGGAAACGCAGTGAAGAGAAGAATTGACTTTAGGGAAATGAAAAGAGACAAATTAGTTTGATGCAGAAAGGTTACATGACTTTTATTCACATAAAAACACTGAACATATAAATGTGCCAGAGGAAGCAGGTGGCTTCCAGTCATTCCTCTTGTAAACAGAGCCCGGCCTCTTTTATGTTCATATCAGCTCCATCATATTAAACGTTCATAAATTTCTCTGCTGCCTCGCCCCACGCCTCGTCTTCTATTTCTGTCTTTGTGACGCTGTTTTGTTGTTGGAGTAAATAAACCTGGACTTTGGTCGAGGAAAAGAGGAATCAACCCCGCACCAGTGAGGATCCACTTTCAGACTTAGAACCTTTCTGCTTCAGAACACAATGCAGAATAAACTGGGGCACCGGCGCCGCTGCCAGACGGAAATATGATTATTACCCCCACAACATATAAAGTTACATCAAACATGACTTCACGTTATGGTTGAAAGAATTTAAATCTTTAACTGTGTCAAATAATACCAATTTAAAAATGTACTATACATAAACTGTTAAAGGTGTGACTGAATATATCACATTTAAAGAAAGAAAATATAATATTGTTGTCAAGGTAATAAGAAGTTCTTTTCAAAATATATAAGATTATTTATAAATGAATTATTAATATCAGTGGCAGCTGTAGTAGTGCCGGGCGATACGGCCAAAAAGTCACAATTCTGGTATAAAAT